CACACACACACACACACACACACACACACACACACACACACACACACGTGATTATTCTACTGTATATACCCATTTTATTGAAAAAAAAAGTTTTTTTCTTCTTTCAGCTGCTCCCTTCTTCAGAGGTCACCACAGTGAACTAAGTTGCACAAAGACTTGACAGTTGTTTTTACACTGGATGTCCTTCCTGATGCCACCACAGACCGAGCTACCACAGCCCTCTGTGCGGAGCAGAGAGCTGCTGTCTAGTGTGCCTGGGGGAGCAGATGGTGGTGGTTAAGGGCCTTTCCTCAAAGGCCAAGAATGAGGAAGGAGGAAGGTGTGGGTGCTTCACCCATATATTGAAGATAGTCCAGGGGGTCAAAATGGTGACCTTGGGATCACACCTCTCTAACCTCTGCACCACCACTCCCCAACTTAAAGCTCACGTCACCTGGTATGCCCAGGCAGTCTCCGATCCAATTACTAACCAGCCCCGACCCTGCTTAGCTTCTGAAATCAGATGAGGTGGGGCGTGTTCATGGTGGCATGGCTGTAAACAAATGGTGAATTATTTTCCTTTTATTTATTTATTAACCTTTATTTAACCAGGCAAATCCCACTGAGATCACATATCTCTTTTTCAAGGGAGGCTTGGACCTGAAGGCAGCCTAACATGCATGTTTTTGGTCTGTGGGAGGAAACAGGAGTACACAGAGAAAACCCAAGCAAGCACGAGAAGAACATGTAAACTCTAAACAGAAAGACCCCAGGTCCAACCGGGGATTGAGCCCAGGACCTTCTTGCTGTGAGGCAACATTGCTAACCACTGAGTCATCGTGCTGCCAAATGGTGAATCTGGTAAAGTATTTTTTATTGTCCACACTGAAGCACAACTTGAATCTCTGAATATGGAATATACATCTGTACCCCAAAGAAGTAAAACTGAGCACATATATGAACCACAAGCCACGCAGCTATTCTTGTTAACACAAATTAGCAACTTCTATTTGCTGTATGGTCTAATCCAAACATTTAACAGCTTCTTCAGGACTTGTTATCTGCTCTTAAACAGTTTGGTCCCCGAGTCTCAATGGGATTAACCTGTATAAATAATGGTTGGTCGCAATAAATATTAAATGGTTCACACTTTTATTTCCTAAAATCACTTTACAATGTTTCTTATTGACATATTTAACACACACAGTGCTTATTATTATACATTTTACACTATATAGAACACTTTTTTACTCTCACTCATAGGTATATTGGGGGCAGTAGGGGGCTCAGTGTCTTGCCCAAAGACTCTGCAGGGACTGAGGATCGAATCCCTGACCCTCTGAGAGGAAGACAACTTCCTGTCCACCATCCAAAGCTGCTCCAGGCTTGGGCTGCTCGGACTTTCATTTATGCTGGTATGGTTGCAAAAACATCTAAAGAATCACTTCTACTTAGAAAAACAGTTTGACAGCAGCCTAAGGCCTACTGTTCCCACAACAAAAGGTGAAGATGACACAAATGACATTATCACCGGTCTCATCTCTCTGAAGGTTTGATAACGCTCTCTCTTCTGTCTCATGTAGCATCTTATCGCAGCACTTCTCAACAAAGTCCATGCTCAATAATCCAGGTATGCAATACAACATTTTTCAGTCAGGTCATCTGGACAGTTTCTTTTTTTTTTTTTGCTGAAACGTTTCACCTTCGGGCCGAAAGGCTTCATCCGTCAAGGAAACACACAACAAAACAGTTTTTTGTGTGTTTCCTTGACGGATGAAGCTTCTGGACCGAAGGCGAAACGTTTCAGCACAAAAAAAGAAACTGTCCAGATGACCTGACTGAAAAATGTTGGACTCCTTAAGAAACTTTCTTTCTTCATGACCACATTTACATGGCCCCAAATTTAAACACGCGTGCACAGAGAAGAAAACTAAAAAGTTAGCAACCAGGTTGAGATGGTCAGATCCAGAGTCAGAGGCTCACGTAGAGCTCTGCTGAAGGCGAGAGGAGTTCGGGCATCATAGGGTTTTACAGCAGATTTGTTCAGACTGTTTGTATTGACGGATCATTAACTTTGTCTCGTCGTTGAAACACGAACATACTCCCACATGACCTCCATGTTCTCTTGAATCTGACTCTGGTTCTGCTGTAAAGCCTTGATAGTCTTGTTCCATCAAGTTACCTGGCAATAAATGTGAGCGCCACAGCTGGAATCTGTTCTGTTCACTCACAAGTTCAGAGAAAAAATGCTACAAAACCATTTAAAAAAGGCTGAATGAAGCATGTTGTTAAAACAGGATGTACAACACACCCAGTAGCTTAAACAAAGTGTTGTCTGAACTTTTGGTGTGGTGTCGTCAGTACACGGACCTCCTCCTGCAGCAGCAGCGCCTAGACAAGGGTTATGGCTGCACAACCCTCCTGTCTGCAACAGCGAGTGTAAGGTTTGTGTCTCCTTCCACACACCAAACACACTCTTCAAACCCTTTTTAAAAATGTTTCAATACTTTTATTTTCAGTCTCTGACCCAGCAGCACGGTGGCACAACTGGTAGAGCTGCTGCCTCTCAGCGAGCAGGTCCTTGGTTCAAACCCCGGTCCAGGGCCTTTCTGGGTGGAGTTTGCATGTTCTCTCCGTGCATGCGTGGGTTTTCTCCGGGTGCTCCGGTTTCCTCCCACAGACCAAAAACATGCATGTTAGGCTGATTGGTAACTCTAAAATTGTCCCTAGGTGTGAGTGAGAGAGTGAATGGTTGTTTGTCTCGTTTGTCTCTATGTGTCACTGTGATGGACTTGCGACCCGTCCAGGGTGTACCCCGCCCCTCGCACAGTGATTGCTGGACATGGGCACCAGCGACCCCCGTGACCCAAAATGGAATAAGCGGGTAAAGATAATGGATGGATGGATGGACCTTTGTCCACAGAAATGTTTGCCAAATTTGACTTGTGATGAAGTTAAGCCATATAAAAGGGTTAAAGCATCAGTCACCTTCCATTCCAGCATTAACCCTTTTGAAATTGACGAAGGTAATAAAAAAAATTTAAAAAAAGAAAAACATTACTAAAGATCAAGTAATAAAAATCAGTCATTGGTTTGAATTTTGGTTCAACAGAATTAAAAACCTTTGGCAAAACTTTGCAACTTATAACTTAAGTAATGTGCATTTTGGGAAAGTTCCAGTCTCACACGTTTGTAATTTGGGTTCCTCATCAGTCATCATCTTTGTCTCAAACAGTGACTGATGGTGTGATCTGACACTGAGGACCCTTGACCTTGGAGTTCACCTCTAATCTCTGAGGAAGTTGTTCTGTGCTCTTTGGTTACTGTTCTTATTATGTCTTTTTTAAGTCTTCTTTAGTTTTCTTCTTGTGGACACATCCAGGGAGGTCGCCTCCAGTCCTGTGGACCATAAACCTCTGAATTAACGGAGCAGCAGTCAGAGGAACATCAAGCTGCTTGGAGAATAATCACTGTAATGCCACTTTAGTTGGTGATATGTCACTTTATCTGTGCTGCTGATTATCCATGCTGCTGATTTCTTACCAATAATATTCATACCATCTGCTCACAACAGACTCATGTTCATGCTGCTGTTTAATACAACTTTACAATATTATTGTTTAGGGTGCGTCTTAGATCCTTGCATACGGTTTATTTTATATAAACTTTATATCATTGCTATTTTTTATATTAATGCTATTGTTGGATGTTACTGGGACCCTGTGTACACAATTTCATTCCACCTCATGTACCACATGTGGTGCGAATGATAAGAAAAGGACCTTGAACCTTTAACTAGGCAAACTGACTAACTACAGGACTGAAGACACATGTGATGCTGATTACAGAACAAGCCTCAGTTTACCATGCCCCTGCGGTCAAAATAGATGCAATGTTTTTCCAAACGGTCCCATCTTTTCTTTTCTTTTTTTTGGTCTGGATCTGTTTCATTAGTTTCTTTTTTTTATTTTGTTGAATCAAAACTCAAAAGTAGACTTGTTTTTTCGACCGAGTTTTGTAAATTTTTTTAATCTACTTAGGTCAGTTTTAATAATTTTCCGTACTCATTGGGGTTTTTTTTTTTTTCACTTCTTTAACAAAAAGGTACAAACAAATTTATCATGTTTTATTGTATAACCATTAGTAACTGAATGTGGCGGCCATCTTGAATTGGACTAACTCCAAAAGGTAACGAGTTGTAAATGGCCACCACCGCTAAGTAATTTTAGTACCAGTAAACACAAAAGCTATAAATCAGCCAAATGTACAGACAGTGAGATCAAATTTGGCATGATATAGGTGAGAGTCATCCCCAACACATATTCTTATTGTTAGCTGACCAAGTGAGATTTTTATTTAAAAACTTTGGCAATAACCTTTTGTTAGGAAATATGAATCACGAAATACTGGATTAATTTCATTGAAACTTCCAGAAACAAATCATGGGTCATCATCAACTAAATAAACTTTGGAGACAACCCAATTCAAGATGGCCGCCACAGTTAGCTGACCTTAACAAACATAACACAAGTATCGCCAACAGTACATAACGCACCTGTCAGTAAATTTTCAGAATAATCAAAATCCAAAACATGAATTCCCACAAACAATCCTGAGTATGTGTCTGTTAGGTGAGTACATGACTGGGGTGAGGTGAAAGGTCAACTTCACTGATAATGATGTTGTCCATGGTGTAAATCAAACAGTTCAATTAAAGAACATATGACATGAAAATGATGATTACCAGCTGATCCTAGTCGTAGACTTCACCAGTCCCGCTCAATATTTCTTCGGTGGAGGAGGTCTTATTATAATTATTATTATATATTATATTATATAATTAATAATTAAGGACTAATGTGGAGCCATAGTCTGACCATGCTCATCCTGAACATTTGTGGAGTTACACCGTGGACAACTTTCTGTGTGGTGTCTCATGGATGGACAGACAGGCACAATCCGGAAACAAAGTGGTTCGACATTTCTATTACTGGGCTCTACATGGTTTTAACAAGGAGGTCACCTGTGACCTTGACCTTTGACCCAGTGACACAGAAATAAATAAGGATCATCCTTGACCCATGAGGTGTCTGGCTGTGTCGTTTCACATTTATAGCTTAAAGGTTATCAGTTTAGAGCTCTGACAAAGAATTAGCCACAGACAGCCCAACAAATAAAAGTGGCTTTAACACAGTCAGTTTTAAAGGTACGAAGCAACATTACGGTGTGGTAGTAGCTGAGGATCCTTCCTAGCACATACTTCAAGTTCTTTATATTGTGTAATGTTTTAACTTAAAACATTTTCAATACCAGTTGCCATTAACTCCTTAAGTTAAGTCTATTAGCAAAACATCAGACAAGTGGATCCTCATGAAACTTCTAGAAAATATTCAATGCTTGAACATTACAACTCCTTAACATTTGTAGTCAGCCCATTTCAAGATGGCCACCACAGCTTACTGACATTAGCAAACACAAAAAGAGATTAATGAGCAAAATTTAACAGGTATTTTCAATTCAATTCAATCTTTATTTAGACAGATAAGTCACATTGAGCCTCGAGGACTCATTTACAAGTGAGATCTGTTTAGACAGTAGTGAAACTGGACACATGTAGGAACTGGAGGCAAAAAAAATTCCTAGTTCAGAGTCATCCCCACGATTTACTTTAATACTTCTTGGGAGATCTCGCATGAGGTAATTTATAGGCGCTGGTCATAAAATTAGAATATCATGAAAAAGTTAATTATTTCAGTAATTCCATTCAAAAAGTGAAATTTGTATATTATATTCATTTATTACACACAGAACGATATATTTCACGTTTATTTATTTTAATGTTGATTATAATTATGAAAACCCTTATGAAAACCCCAAATTCAGTATCTCAGAAAATTAGAATATTGTGAAAAGGATCAATATTGAAGAGACCTGGTGCCACACTCTAATCAGCTAATTAACTCAAAACACTTGCAAAGGCCTTTAAATGGTCTCGGTCTAGTTCTGTAGACTACACAATCATGGGGAAGACTGCTGACTTGATAGTTGTCCAAAAGACGACCATTGACACCTTGCACAAGGAGGGCAAGACACAAAAGGTCATTGCTGAAGAGGCTGGCTGTTCACAGAGCTCTGTGTCCAAGAACATCAATAGAGAGGTGAAGGCAAAGGAAAGAAGTTGTAGAAAAAAAAAGTGTACAAGCAATAGGGTTAGAGTTGCACTCGGGCCCAAAAAAATCTGATCCGACCCGGCCCCAGCCCGCAGTCATAAATTCCGAACCCCACGCGACCCGACAAATTAACAGTAATTACAGGTCCAAACCCGGAAAGCCCCTCGACATTTTTAATTAGTTATTAACAGTCGGGGGCGCGGAGCTGAATAAACACGGCAGAAGATTTGGAGCCGAGAGGTGTTTGTACTTTCATGGCCATAAAAAAGCATTTAAACCCCGTTTCTGACTGCATTCTTCTGAATTACTGAGACACGCGGACAGCTTTGATACATGTCTGCTTTGGGATCTCAGCTGTTTGGGTCGTCAGCCACGCGCGTCCACTGAATGCAGCAGCTGAATGAACGTCCATTTGTGCGATGGATCACTTCCTGGCAGTACAGTCCAATCTGAAGCTTAAATTAACTTTTTACCTCTTTCAAGGCCAGTCAGCGTGCAGTGAAATGGCCACGTGCGGCTGGTGGATGTATGGCAGGCCATGTAATCATATAATTGGATCGCGGCTGATCCTGACCTAATTAAAAGCCCTAGACCGGCCCAGTCCACCCATTAATCACATTATAACGGCCCGGCTCGGCCTTAATCCGGGTTGGTCCGGGCCAAGTTTCGGGTTAGAAATGACAGCTTTAATTACGGATAACCGCACCATGGAGAGAATTGTGAAACAAAACCGATTCCAAAATGTGGGGGAGATTCACAAAGAGTGGACTGCAGCTGAAGTCAGTGCTTCAAGAACTACCATGCACAGACGTATGCAAGACAAGGGGTTCAGTTGTCGCATTCCTTCTGTCAAGCCACTCTTGAACAAGAGACAGCATCAGAAGCGTCTCGCCTGGGACTGCTGCTGAGTGGTCCAAAGTTATGTTCTCTGATGAAAGTAAACTTTGCA